GTAAATACGCAATAATTACAATGTGGATATCTGCGTCGTTGGGGCATCTAATATACGGAACATCTCGACGTTTGTGAGTGCGACCACGATTGAAATTGCTTCTTTTTTTAGCGGTACACACGAGTGTGTATTTGCATACAGAAGGTTTCTCCGTACAATTTGCACCCTTCGAAGCAGATGAAGGTCGCGTGTAAGTTGTATAAATAGTATTGTAATGGAGTCGATACTGATGTAGTGATGTAGTCTGACTCGGTACACGGTATTCGAGCAATCGAGTACTTTTACAGAACTCGAATATACGGTATTAGGATAGTTACGGTACACGAATGCTAGTGAGTTTTTGGTTCTTTTTTAGCATTTTATCAATAGTATACTAAGTAACTAAAGGAAATATTGTTAAATTATTGAATAATTATTTTCTTTATTAAAATAAATTTTAGAAATCAATTAAAAACGTTTTCGAGTTTACCCGTGCTTCTAGCCTACCCTACCTCGGTTACTTGTTCGAGTTCTCAGAACTGTGTCGGGATTCGATTATATTTTTAATGATTACCAAAGTACTCGAATATCAAAAAAGGTCGACTCGTCACATTGTAAGTACCATTTGCTATAATTAAAATTTGTAATTTAATATTACAGCGAAATGGTTAAAAAAGAGGGGTGTTATAAATTTGACGTGGCTGTGTGTCTGTATGTAGAATCGTAGCTCCTAAATGAATTGATCGATTTTGATGCGGCGTTTTTTGTATGAAAGTTGCACGTCAATTTACAAACAATGATGATGAATCGAGATGGTTTTTAGCTTCAATTTATGAAGATCCGTTCAGGCGTTTCAAGGTCATTAGCGCTTATATTATTATTACATTAGCATTTATAGGTTCGTGTCAAATTTATAGTTATATTAGCAGTGTTGTTTAATAGGGACTGTCTGTAACTGTGATGAAATGGATATATTTAATAGTAACATAAGAAAAATTATCGCAAATTAATCAATCAGTGATTTTAACGATTTTTAGCCTGTATTTACACACTTAACACATTAATTATCAAGACTATAATTTTGGCGGCGGTAGTCATTTACCATCAGGTGAGCCGCATGCTCGTTTGCCCCCTGTGTTGTAAAAAAAAAACACAATTTTCATTAACTATATGCCATCATCATCATATCAGCCTTTAACTATCCATTGTTGCACATATGCCCTCCTCTAGGGGGTTTTGCTAGTAGTTGCCACGCTTGGCAGGCAGATTGGCAACTGCAGATAGGCTTTGGAGATGTTTTGAGAGGGTTGTATTTTTTTATGTTTCATCATATCAGCCTTTAATGGCCTTTAATAATCTAAAAAATTGCTGAACTTAAGCCTCTCCCTGGCGGGGTTTTGCCAACAGTTGCCACGCCTGGCAGGCGGATTGGCAACTGTAGACTTTGGACATCGCTGCCGCCCGTCCCTCGTCCTCCCTTAGTCGTCTCTTACGACACCCACGCGAAAGGAAAAGGTTTTCTATTCTATGCTGAGAACATACGGGCATAACTATGTGGTAACTTTTAATTAGCTTATTGTTGCCATATATATTTAATTATTAAATTATTATAGTTGTAAGCTTCCCTCGAAAATAATAAATAAATAAATAAATAATTCTGATGATCATAACAGTTTTGATATGTAATCAAATTAAAATTGAATTTTAAAGATAAGTTTGACCTAAGACGTATTGACACGTCTGGTTACTCAGTCGGGAGTGAATTTTATTTACTTATCGGTTAATGGTTTTCCTTCGATATTTCTTATGTAGCTAGCTACTCGTAAGCTGGGGTTTTCCGCGGCTTTTACGTATTACCCGCACATTAGCGATCGATCGGACGATTCGACGACAAACATTGAACAATACGATGTCGATAACACAAATACGAATACATGCATAATATTTGAATGGACAATACTATTCATGCTAATTACATACATATACGTCACGCCCGTCCCCCATTGGGGTAGGCAGGAACAATACAATGCCAAATGCAAACTTCATAAGAGCCATTCTCCTTTCTGCATCCATATGAGATTGATTAATAACTTGGACTTTCTTCGGTATATATTTTTGTATTGGGTGGTGCACTTTTATGTTAATGGATGACAATGGAATGTTAGCAACAGAAGCAATAGATAAAATTATATATATATATATATATATATATATATATATATATATATATATATATATATATATATATGTACCCTGCCTGCGCTAACAGTGTAAGCTGGCGAGGTACCAGTGAGTGAGGAATGATAAATGAGAATAAAAAGGTAGGTCAGTTAGCCCATAGTGATGAATACACATGGAAATTAGTATGATGGTTTCTAAGTGTTACTACGTGAGGTCGACCTGACAGGGTATATTGCTAGCAATAGGATTGATAATCCGCATTACTAACAATCCCTTCCTCCTTCTGGGATGCTGCACCAGCCTATGTTAATAGTATAAAATGACAGGGCAACGGTGACGGTGTTTCATCCTTCAGGGTAAAACAATAAAGACACCGTCGGTTAGTTCCAACAAATTTGCTAGTAATTAATCACAACTGTTTACAGTGGGGATTTAGCTAGCAAATGGGTACTAGCGTCCCATGCATGTTATATATATTTTATCCGTCTATTACGTCTACACTTATTCTTATCGATGTATTTTTAGGATCAATATAATACATCTCAAGCAAAAAACGGAACCCTTGTAGAATCACTTCGTTGTCCGTCCGTCCGTCCATATCATATATTTTGATATTCTCAAAGGGAATCAAAACCTATAGGATACTTCCCGTTGATCTAGAATCATAAAATTTGGTAACAAGCAATGTCATATAGCACATATAAAGGAAACAATCCGAAAACCATAAATTTGTAGTTATATGAGAAAGAAAGAAAATTTAACTTGACGAATGTACCTTCGTTGCGCGAGTCCGACTCGCACTTGACCGGCGTTTCATTTTTCATCCATCTTTTTCAAAAGATCACCAAAACACAATTTAACAACAAAAAAATTCACGTGACGTTGACGTTATCAATATTGGACGCAGTTTGGTGTTGAGTAATGTTATTGTTGACTTTTCACAAATAGAACATATGTATTTAACATTGAATACACACAAATTACCCTACTCAAATCTAAATGACAAGGCCCCATGGGAGCAAGTGAGGAAATTGGATAACTATAAATACATATGTATATGCAAATGATGTATCTAAGATGTTTACCATAACTAATTAAATATTTTACAGTTTAATAGATCAATGGTAGTAAATTTTATATAAAAAGTAAATTTTAAATAAAAAAACACACACACACATACATTATGTATGTATGTGTACATACACACACACACACACACACACACACATATATATATATATATATATATATATATATATATATATATATATATATATATATATATATATATATATATATATATATATATGTAAGTAAGGTACTTTTTCTTGCGAAAAACTTATAGGATGTGGGGTGAACGAGGGGTAATTTTTCCATGAAACTTTTTATTGCGTCGTCCTATTTGCTTCAAACTTTATAGAGTTATTGTCTGTAATTCATAATTATAGTATACATATTTCTTTTCTTATACTAAACAGATTATGGAATGTGTTTCTTTTTATAACTATTTTATTTCTATCTATACTAACAAACCGCGGGTGAAAAGTAAGTAATATTATGAATATGAAAGTGAGTTTGTTTGTTATCTTATGGCGCCTTAACGTCTCAACCAACCGTCATGAAATTTGGCATACACGTACTATTTGTAATAGAGAAGGATACAGGCTATTCTTTATCCTTGTCAATCAACAATTCCTGGTCACTTTGAACGTAGTTGCGGTTAAAGTTAGTACACCATACTTATTTAACATCAAACACGTAAAATGAATTACCCTACTCAAGTGTAAATGACAAGGCGATATGTGAAGAAATAAGGAAATTGGGCAACTATAAACAAATTATGTAAGTGTAAATGACGTCTCTCAGATGTTTGCTATTGCTTAAGATATAACATTTTAATTTGATAGGTCAAGGTCATAGCCGGCTTTTATCACCGCACCGCTCGCCATCGATATAGAATTCATTCTCACACGCTAGAAACTGAATAGTTGCGTACAGTGCAGTTTCAGAGAGTTTTCTCCTGCGAACACTAATGCTACGAAATGAACTTCCTGCTTTCTGCTGCTTTCCCTAGAGACTACAGTATGGGTTCTTTAAAAGGGTGTTCTTAATGTTTCTTCAGTGTTAGCAACGCGCAGTCAAATCGCTTGTGTTGCAGGCGTTCATTGACTATAGAAGTCGTTTACTATCAGACGGATTGTATGCTTGTTGCCACTTTCGTGATATGAATATCTACTTTATTTATTATTTTGTACACTATTGCTCATCGAATTAGGTCATAATTTGCTCATTTTAGGTGTAAGAAGAGGATGAATGAGAATGGAAGATATTACCTCGGAAGTAACATTTTTTCTGTATCGTTTTTATTGTAATTTGGGTTCGGTTATTCAAAAAATTATCTTAATTTTAGTCAGTCCTAGCTAAACTTGACTAAACTTTAACAAATCCTCATTTTAATCAAGTTTAGCCAAGTTTGTCCAAGTTTCGGTAAATTAGGCCAAGTGAGACTAAGTTTAGTCACGTTATACTGAATTTGGTCAGTTTTATCAAGTTTACTCAAGATTGACAAGGTTTGGTCAAGTGTGATCCAGTTTGATTCAATTTACCCGAGTTATGTCAATTTTGGACAAGTTTAGTCACATTGGGCTAAATTTGATTAATTTGGTCAAGATTAGTCAAGTTTGGCTAAGTTTGGTCAAACTTTATCGTTTAAATCGAGTTGAGTATAGTTTGGCCGAGTTTGATCCAATTCATAGATAATTACAATATTGCTACACTTCGGTAACCTACATTGCAGACATTTATAATATTATATTTGCAAATGTTAATTATCTTTCCAGTGGAAGATCCGTGGGAGATATCCTTCGAGTCGATTGTTCTGCACGAGTACATAGGCGCTGGGGCGTATGCCAACGTGTACTCGGCTTGGCACAACGGCGAACTCGTCGCATTCAAGATGGTCAATGACAAGAAGGAGCTCGATATGAAGTATCTGCGGGAACTGAAACACCCTAATATTGGTAAGTAGACATAGTCCCCTTAGATTGGTGACATGCTTTTGGTATAAGAGATTTTTGGTACTCATTAAAAAAGTATTCAAATCTTAATTCGAGTGTGAGAACTCGACCAAGTATTTGTGTACTTGTACGGGTATTTGAGTACTTCATATCAGGTTTGCTGTGTTTCCGGGATAGAATGGGCTACCTCTTACTTTCCCGTGGGTGTCTTAAGAGACGTCTAAGGGAACTTAATAGTCGAGGTATAGGAAACAGCGTCCCTCTTAAAACATTATCAAAGGCTAACTACTGTTGTCAACCCTCATGCCAAATGTCTCAGCTATTAGATTAACCTCCTAGTAGGAAGAAACCTATGTTCAACAGTGGACAGTTAACAGCTGATAGGATCACGATGATGAATCAGATTTGAATGCTTTTTCTATTGATTTCCGAAGTTTACTTTTAAAATTGTTCATAATAAAATATGGTAATGCCACAATTATCTCACAATTTCCAAAAGCAGTTGAACAATTTTTAATGTTTCTGATTGAATATTTAAAAAGTTCTTTGCTAGCAAACTAAAACCTTTAATCATGTAATAATATTCTCATCAGGCTGTTACTGAAAATTTAGGTTTTGATGGAAAAAAGTAAACGTAAGCACGTAGGAAAATTCCTAAGCAAAATTTGAAGTTGGTGGAAAGTTTTTCGTGGTAGATTTATATGTAAGAAATTCTATAATGAATGTTATAGTTCGCTGACATTTCAGAGCACTTTTTAAATAATCGGAATCAGTGATAGTTCAGTTGTTTTTGGGAAGCGACAGATGCGACGTTGCCATACTTAGAATAAGCAAAAGTTTAAGAACTCTCTTAATGAACATTATAAATGTTCAGCTATTAATATCTCGTCACCAATTAATATTTTATTATCGTTTGGTAATTAGGGAAATATTAAGAAAATACCCAACTAGTGTCCAACGGCCATTTGTACTCGGAACTCGTACTCGAATACTGTGTATTCGAATCAGTATATGATTCAGCCTGATTTTTGCTTTTCTTTTTTGGCACTAAATTAATTTCAATTTAAACATCGATATTATTAGAATGAAATCAACTATGGAAAAAGACTGCCAAATTCCTGACAAGCATTAGAAATTTTTCGTATTTTACTTACAATTCGTTGCGTTCTTTACATTTCGTTTAGAAATTCATATTTGTGTCTTATACAATTTATTGTCATGTGGTCCGGTGTAGAACGAACCACCACTTCCTTACCCGAGCATGTCTCGTAAGAGGTGATTAAGGGAACTTAATGGTTGAGGAATAGGCAACAGCTTCCCTCATAAAACATTACCAAAGCCTAACTGCGGTTATCAACCAGCCTGCCAAACGAGACAACTACTGGCAAAACCCTCCTTGTGGGGGAGTCCTATGATTAGCAGTGGAAATGCAATGAAATGAATTTATTTGAAATTTATTTTTGGACGATTAAAACGGCTGATATAATAATAATAATATTCATAAAAAATAATTGAAAATATGTTTTTTACGGAACGTTCTTTTTTACAGTTTATAATCTAATAATTTATATTTTGGCTTTTTCATTCCTATTTTTTTTTGCATAGCACTCCACGTGAAGTAGCAATATTAAAACATTAACCAAAAACTGTACCAAAAAACCTGAAAGAAATTAATTTTGTAGATTTTTATTGTTTCATACTAAAGATTACAATAGTAATCTTATTATAAATACAAAAAAAAAAATTATTATAGTGAGAAAACTATGAGCAAGCCTTATCGCTAAAAGCGATCCCTTCCAGGCAACCTTGGATGGAGAAGAGTTATAAACAGTTTAATTAATTTTATTGTATTTTTTTGTTAAAATTCCTATTTACTCTATTTTTTTTATAGTTTTTACAGTTACAAAGACTAAAACGCAAACCGTAACATCTTCCAATCTTTAAGTCAGATCCAAACCAGATCCAGTCTGGTCACAGTTCGATCACAGTCCGAACATAAAATAAAGAAATATTCGTACGCGTTGCAGTGCGTTTCCGCGGCGTGTGCATGGAACCCACACGGTACGGAATTGTGATGGAGTTCTGCCAATACGGCTCGTTGTTCAGCTATATACACGGCGGCTCGCGCATCGTCACCACGAAGGTGGTGAAGTGGGCCAACGAGATAGCGTCCGCTATGCAGTATCTACACAAGAACAAGATAATACATCGCGATCTCAAGAGTCCCAAGTAAGTGTTATTTGAAAGGAAGGAAGAAAAGGAGCCGTGGCCGTATGGTCCTGGCATAGAACTTTTCTTTCCTGTAGGTGTCATAAGAGGCGACTAAGTGAAGGTGAGGGATCGGTAGCAGCGTCCCTGATAAAACATCTCTAACTGCGGTTGCCAATTTGCGTGCCAAGTGTAACAACTACTGGCTAAACTCCCTAAGGGGGAGGCCTACGTTCAGGTAGTCTTATCGCTAAGACATCTCTTCCCGACACTTCTTCTAATTTACATTGTCGAAAATGAACGTTCGCAGTGTGCTGATAGCTGACGATCTAGTGGCCAAAGTGACGGACTTCGGACTGTCGCGCATGTGGGACAAATTCAGCGTGGTGATGACGTACACAGGCACCATCAGCTGGATGGCTCCCGAGCTGATTCTCAGGAAGCGGGCTTCGGACCGGATCGATGTGTGGTCCTACGGTATCGTGCTCTGGGAGCTGCTGACTCAGGTTAGTAATAGATTAAATATAGTAAGTATACTACATTGTCCATGGTCTTGTTAATGTCTATAAGATGAATCACTTTCTATCAGGTGGGCCGTCAACTTGTTAGCAGCATTCTAAGTTGCGTAAAAAAACTAATACGGGTGATGGTGGTAGAGTCTTAGTACTTTAGTCTCCAGGAATTGCAACGCATGCAAGATATGACAGCTCTCATATTTTGCTATTAGGGTATTACAGGGTATTCCGTGATGGCCGTACATGTCGTGCCTGTTCATGTCTAGCCTGAGACTACCGTTTTTAACCGTCTTCAAAAGAGGGGGAGATTTCAATTCGGCTGTATTTTTTTATGTTTGCCACCTCATAACTCCATTAGTTGTAAATGGATTTGAATTTTATTTTTATCTGAAAGGATGCGCTTTCAGATTGGTCTCATAGGAATTTTATCGAAATCGGTTTATTAGTTTTGTTTTTAAATGAGGTTAACTGGTTTTGCCATAACTGAAGTCGGGGGTTTTTTGAAACATAGTCTTGCATTATCCATCAAGTGAGTTCTAGGGCATGGTTGTTCTTCTAAGTTGTTTTAAAATATATATTTAATATCTGTACTTCATGCTACTGTGTTTCAGTTGAATTGTATATATGTTTAATAAATATTTTTTTTTTTTTTATACAACTTAGAATGGCAAACAAGCTGACGGCCCACCTGATGGAAAGTGGTAACCGTCGCCTATAGACATGAGCAATACCATGGACATAACAGAGTATACTATTACGCCGACGATACCCCCCATGCGTTGCCATTCCTGAGGACTCAGGTGTTATTCCTCTGTACCCTGTAAATTCACGCCATATCACACCCTTCAAACCGAAACACATGGCTGTGTTAGTAATAGATTAAATAGAATTAATATACTACATTGTCCATGGTCTTGTTAATGTCTATAAGATGAACCACTTTCCATCAGGTGGGCCGTCAACTTGTTAGCAGCATTCTAAGTTGCGTAAAAAAACTAATACGGGTGATGGTGGTAGACTCTTTTTTAAGAGATAATGAAATGGTAATCAAGCCGGCGCTTCGGTGTACGCTACTGCCATGCAAACACAACTGCTTCACGATTGAAACACGAATGGGACAGAGGTAGTCAAGCAATCGACCTTTGTACAAAGTCTCACTCTGGTAGATATATAATCCATAATATAATATGGTATATTATCTATAATTGACTTTGCAGAAGGTGCCGTACGATGGTCTGTCAACGTGTGCGGTGACATTCGGTGTTGGCAGCGAGAAGCTGTCGCTTCCTCTACCCGACACATTCCCCGAACATCTGAGGATACTGATCACGCACTGCTGGCATCGGGATCCACGCGACAGGTACTCTTAAGGCTTTGTAAGCCATTCTCCAAAGCAGGCGATTCCCAATGCAGCTGATGATTTTTTTGCAATTGTATTTGTCGATTTTGATGCGCTATTTCTTTTTAAATATTCGTAAAATAAAAATATATTTTTATTCAATTATACTTAATTTTAAACATTTATGAATAATAATTTCTTAATGCATCTAGCGCTCATAAAGAATAATAATTCAAATTCAGCTGAGAAGAATTAGTTTTTTTTTTTGATGGGTGAAAATGGTATGGTAACCCCGCCTGCGCTAACGGGATACGCTGGCGGAGCACCAGTGAAGGGTGATAGATGAGAATGAAAACAGGCCAGTTAGCCCATCATGATGAATTCATCAAGAATTAACCATGATAGTTTCCAGGGAGAACCGCGAGGAGGTCGATCTGGTTGGGTATATTGCTAGCATTGGGATTCTCAGTCTCCATTACTAACAATCCATTTCCCCCAGATTTCAAAAGTAGGCCAACTAAGGAAATTAATCACTTGTAGATGGCGAATCAATATAAAATATACACCAATTTTTATAATTATCACATTCAATTTGGAGGAGTATTATTTTCGTGATGCCGGTCAAACATACAGACAAACAGGGGGAATTTTTGAAAATTATTAGTTCCCTTTCTATTGGTATAATTAAGATCTTCACATTAATTTTTTAAGTATCTCTTAAGTATAAACATTGTTGTCTAATTACGATTTAATTATATTAGTAATATGGTATTATAATAACGTATTACAATGTACAGGCCGACGTTCGACAACATAGTGGAGGCGCTGCCGGCCGCCCTACATGAGCTGAGCATCATGAGCGATGACAGGTTCAACGTTCTGCAGAATAACTGGATGCACGAGGTCGATGAGCACAAGAGAAATGGCTGGTACGTGTAGACAGACATTAAATTTGACAATTTATTTGTATATCCCTAGTATTTATTTACATTACACGCACATTTAAATATACAAATACGTGCAAGAACACGCACCCATGCATTCACGCATGCATACACGCATGCTACGACGCTCTCACGCACACACGCATGCATGATTGCATGTGTGTGTGCGTGAGAACACATGTACGCTCGCTTACACGCACACAGATACTCATAGTGGCACGTACGCACACATTCACGCACGCACTCATGTACGCTTACACGCAAACACGCACGAACTCTCGCACATATACACAATGTAATATTTCCGTGTTATTATACTATTTTTTTTTTATTTTCTCGCACCCCTAAACGAGTCTAGTAATTACTTAAAAATGAACGTTCTCTTACCATACATATATACTTATTTCAGGTTGGCTGCAGCTCACGAACGCGTTGAGCAAGCACCAGTACAAAAAAGTGCCAAGAAGCAGAAGATGCTTAATAGGATGATAGAGCGGGATGCCAAGAAAATATACATGGAGAGCTGTGCAGTGCGTCTCCTTCTTGAGCAGCGGGAGGTGGATATAGCTAAGTGAGTGGCCATTATGTAATGTTAGTAACAGATAAATTAATGATCTCTGTGGCGCAGTGCGCACGTCGCTTTGTATAAACGAGATCCCGGGCTCAGTTCCCGGTACAGTCAATTTAAGAGACTAATTTTTCTGTATTGGCTCGGGTTTGGGTGTTCTGGGTTATGTCAACAGACGTTCGTTGTTTCATTCATCATACAGGGTTTCTGAGCTATAGAACCAGGCGATTGGTTGTTTATTAAAATTGTGTGAAAATGGTAACAATTCTAAACATTACTGAATTATTATCAAGAGTGAAATCCATCCCAAACTTAGGAAATGTTGCCACAAATATAAAATTGATTACTGGTAACCCACAAAATATGTTAAAAAAAGTTAATTTTATTTACCAATTATAAAATATTTATGTACCTGTAACTTTTATGTGACAATTTTTTAAACTAGATGCTTACCCTGTTTTCTCATGGGTGTACTTTGTCAGTACAATTTTTCCTGGCTTTTATAAACATAACAAAAAAAGAATTAGCCAAATAAGTACAGCCAATCTAAAGGGATGTGCTTACATACATTTGGCAGTTGATTTTTTTTAATAAACTTGATAAATAAAATGTACTGTTATTTATTCTTGGTAGTGCCTAGCAAACTTTGATCACTCTTTTTACTGTTCAACTTTGAAATATATGTTTATAATATTTAATCATTAAGTAATAAAAAAAAATGTTTTCCAGACGCGAGAAAGCGTTCAACAGAATGATCCCCCGGAGCGTACTGAACAATCGTCGCAGGAGTTTCTCCTCATCTTCGTCAGACAGCGTCCCCAAGCCGACCCTGGTGAAGCTCCGCTCGGACACCAACAAGGCGGCCACCATCACCGAGCTGGCGACCAACCCTCCCCTCCAGACCACTGAGGCTATGGACGACGTGAACGGAAACGTCGGCACCGACACCTGTCAGGGTATTGTCAATGACAATTATATAGAACATGCCATTGCAGTTTAATTGTACTGCAGCTGTATGTGGTAGTGCGGAATTGCTGTATAATTGTGTATGTGTGTGTTAAGTAGTATGATTAAGGCCTGCGTAGACGAACATTTTGTCTGTATACAAAATTCCCTTTAGTCACAACACTATTATGACCTGTATAATTACAATCTTGTTTGCCATCTCTCTGTCGGTGCTAAAAATTATTGCCATTTGATGGAATTTGGTATTAAACTTTATAATTTAGTATTTACTTGTACTACTTCCAAAGATGTTTATCACACGTTTGTCAGTACAAATAAAACTAAATCATAAATGCATCGTTACAGGTAAAAAAGGGAAATTTAGGCCACAGATAAAATGATCCTACCCTATGCAGGCCATTAAGTTTATTCATACCGGATTGAGTCTGGACTGTTATTATATATATTGGCTTTACTAACGTTTTAAACTGCGGAAATGCCTGACGATACACTGAAATCATTCGAGAATTAAACCCGGCACCCGACGATAAGGCGGCGGCTGTGATATACCTCTGTACAATCGGCTCCACCACTAGCGCCACTGCTGCAAACCGCATGCGCAGTACAGCTGACCCGTGCTCATGAATAAGGGCTTCTATTGAGTCCGAAACTAGTTCACTGATCCTCGTATTTAAAACGTGAATAAAGCCTATATATTTACAATACAGTACGACTCACAATAGTTACTATCCAACAATGTCTGGATTATCTTTCAATTTTTATAAATACGGACTTTGGTGGTTTTTTTTATTATTCTAAAACATTAATCATTAACAAATAGATTCACGGTAAAAATCTGTAATTGTTAAGCTGGAAACATACTGCTGGACACGTCAGTCAGTCGCTGTGAACAGTGTATGGTTGCCCTGTCTCTTTAATCACATGTACTTAGTCTTCTCGTGACCAGACGTAGCCTTTGTACAAAAGTAATCTGCTTGGATACGTCTGTTTCATTCGTTTTTCCAAGTTGTGTTTGCATAGCTGTGTATCAATTTGAAGGATTGGATATAGCAATGAAATTACAGGATACAGAGGCATAACATCATAGACCTCCGGAATGGCAACGCATGGGGAGTATCATGGGCGATACTGTATACTCTGCTATGTCTATGGTACATTTCATGTCTATAGGCGACGGTTACCACTTTCCATCAGGTGGACCGTCAGCTAGTTTGCCATTCTCAGTTGTATACAAAAAAATCACATAACATTGAGTGAAGCAGATCATTGTCAAAGTCCGATCGTTCAAAAATATTCGGAACATGCATAGTTCAATAAAAATAAACCCAGATCGCATCAGTCAGCTGCGGCTGTCAAACGAGTCCGATAATATGTTTCCAGCTTTACATTCTATTTTTGAAATTTCAAATTTTTTTTTTACAATCGATCTGATCTATATCTGTGGATACCAGTTACCTAAATTTTATTTCATAATTAACGTTTTAGTTTACTTTATAAAATCTTTGCCTAAATGGTCATAGACATTTAGGTAAAAATGTTGTATTTAATTGAATTTTGATAGTTGATACAGACATTGCATGTCTTACAGTAAACTCTAATCGTGTAAATAACCAAACGGAGAATTTACCGTGAACACAAAATCGAAGCCGATTCAATTGAAATTTCGCTTATCTTCTATCTCGCTCACATCCGAATTGGAGTACGATAAGGGGAGAACAACAGCTACCCTCCTTCTCGCTTCGTTTCAACAACGATGTCGAATCCTAGTATAGAATATATATGTTAACGAAAGGACTGTAAGAAACAGGTAAGTAAAACGAAGGAGAGAAGGTTTTATGCATGTTATTTAGTAGGTATAGATGCATGAATTAGTTGCACCGACAAGAGGAAACTCTTCAATTAAAAGAGAGAGCGGGAAAGTGATGTGACAGTGTTGTGTAGAAAATAAACTATTTTAATATATATAAAAAAAAAATATATATAAAAAAGTGCGTTGTGCAAAATAAAAAATTTAGTGTAAGAAAATATATATTTTAATAATAAAATAGTATAAAAACTTGCATTATACACAATACATATTGTATGTACTACACTTCATACAGTTCTCGTGAACGCGAGCAAGTGAAACGTTATTTTCATCAATGTTGAACTTTCACATGTCACCTGGGAAATAAGCATTAAATCTTAAAAGATTGTCTTTCTATGTGATTCTTCTTGGTGTTCGTAGTTAGGGCTATATATTGTATATACTTTTTTTTTTAAGTTTTCCTAACCCAAGTAATGAATATGCCTGAATTGCTATTCACCGTAAAGGCAAAAGGTATTCTGCCCTAACGCATACTATACAATGAAGCCGTAAACACAAATGTATTTAGGTTTGTTTTTTTTCCAAGATACGTCAGTTAGTTTTTTTTTTTTTTCATATTTTAACTTTAGTTCTTAAGGTTTTTTTTTTTTTATTTTTTTTTCCTTTATTAATATCTTTTAAGTGTAACTGTTTAGTTATATATTCCTAATTTCATTTTATTCTTTTTGAAATTTTAACTTTAATCCTCTTCAGGTTTTTTTTTTAATTATTTTTTTTTTAATTATATATAAATTATATTTGTTTGGAGTTAAATTCTTTTTAATTAATAAGAAAAAAATACTTATTTCGTTATAAGTTAAAAATTTTATCACTGAGCAACGTCTGACCATTCTTTTGTAATAAATTTGTACAGTAAGCCCCCCCCCCCCCACCCCGCGCCCCGATCCGTGTTCACGCGGCTACCTCCGTTTGGTTCTATATAACTTTCATGTATTGTTTTATATGTAAATTGTAGAATAAAAACTAGATGGAGACGTTTCGTATATTTTAAGCGATTATTTTGAAATATTGAAGCCATTATGAATTCGTATGTTAGATATATTACGAAAACTAAAGAAATAACAAGCATAACTGTCGTAGACCAGTACTTTGATGTAATAGTCGGAAAAAAGTTAATGTAATAAATTTTAGCACTCTTATTGCTAACAGAATAAAGTTCACAATGGTCCGTCGATAACCATATACATGTTTTCCTATACATGTGTCGTTTTATATAAATCTTACCGTTCATATACGATGAACTTTACATATTCAGGTATAATCTTTTTCTGGTTTCTACTTAGTATGTTTAGTAAACGATACTGGCATTTCTCTTTTACGAAGTTGGTAATGAAGATCGTAAATAATATTCGACGATTAAAAAATAACAATCAATACATAACCAATTGAAGCAAAGCCTTTATCTTACAGCTATTTGTTTATTTTGTGTCCGATTTTTTCGATTAAATAGACACAGTGATAATGTTTACTAAATATTCCAATTTTAAAATCAGACACACGAATTATTTCGGCCAACACTCGGCACTACTCGTCTCTATTGCTCGCCCATAGAAAATATCTCCGTCGCACTCGTCACTTGCAGTGTACGAAACTCTTCGGACGTTCGTACGATATACTATTAGTAATTCCGAACCGGTACGTCATCGTAACTTTAAAAAAAGAGCATATTCCCTTTTAAAAGAGTGGCAGCACACCTGCAATGTCTCTGGTGTTGCGGGTACATTAGGGTTGCTCGTTTACCCCTGTGTTTAAAAAAAAAAACAGGGTGAGGTCAAAATAATTATCAGCTTTTAGAGAAATGTTCTACCAGTGAAACTATTTTTTCAGAAAGAACATGGATGGATTGGTGAAGGATAAAATATTTTCAATGATGGCGTGGAACTGTTGGTCTTCAGTTCGACTCATTTTCTCGGGTAAAAAAAAAATAACAATACAATAGAACGTCCTCATTAAATAGGTAGTAATTAAAAGCTGATTAGAGGAGATACATGAATTAATTAGCCGGATTAGAGGATTTTTTTTACACAAAGTACTTTGCGCTCTTTCATTAAGGTTGCTTATTCCATAATGAACTATTCTCGTTAACAAAGATGGACCATTTTCACTAGTGTTTGTACCTATTATATTCTGTGACAAATTGTAATTTTAATCATTCAATGTATCAAAATCATTGTTGTATTCCAAATTCAAAGTATGAAAATCTATGACGGTTTATTTTAAACTTTCATATCTAAGCTATAAGGGCTGTAATTTAGCTGCGATTGCGTGTCGTAAATCAATTAAAATTCTAGTCGAATTGGCTATTGGTGATGTTTTTGTTGTGTTAATATAAATTTATAGATTATATATTCTCAAGAATTTATCCACTGAGGGCCAGCCGGAGTTGTGAATGTGTCATTCATTCATACAATCCACCCCAGCACACTGTGGAGCGCCGAGCAAATAGCGCGAATGACATAAGCATGCATGTCGCCCCTAACGGCACTTATTGGTGGGAACAAACCACTGCGTTTCACGTCGACCGCCACCGCCAGATGGCGCCGATGTTGGTAACGCTTAGATAAGTTTAGCATTTGTAAGTCGTCGTAAGTTGCGGTTCGTTCATGTGTCTAGATTATGTAGTATTTTATGATTGTGGTATTCTTACACAGATATTATATTCTTATACATTTAGATAAGATTTTCAATGTGTGCGTGGTAAGTAATATTTAATGTAATATTGATGTGTACAAACGTTTCAGCGTCATACACGTGTATGTTGTTCTGGTCGCTTCTATTTCACTCTGTAGTTCCCAAGCGGGATGATGTTAATGAAGTAAATTTAACTACATAGTTACCTATCGCTAATTGCTTTGCTGGATCTTTATGATGCGGACTGTGTTATGAGATATTGGCCCAATATTTGGTATAATACCAACTCCGAAATCACCTTGCCTATGTAGTGATCTTAGTTTTGTATATTGCCACTACAAAAATGATGAAATTGGCATTACGAAAATGTACGTGAATACACGATGAATGCAAGTGTAAGAGTATGAAACCATGCGTTAGTATTCATGGAATTGAACAGTTGTCCCTAAGTAACAAGAAAGGAGTGGATATGGAATTGTTGATTGCGAACAATAAGGTGTATATGTGTACAAGGTGCATCTGGATACATTTATAACCAGAAAGGAGTATTAGTGGAATTTGACAACCTTAGATTATGTACATAGAGTCTCTCCATACAGAGCTTCAATAAAAATTGGTGAATTTTTTATCCATGTATGCGTGAGTAGGGTTGCCATAATATGCAATTACCACTCCGTATACGGGAGAAATAAAAATTATACAATTTTTTATTGAAAATGATCGTAATTTTAATAAATACTATTACATGTATATTAATTTGTAATTAATATGAATATTACATATTTATTACAAATTATTTTATAATATCAGAAAATATAATTCTCGATTCAAATTAAAAAACTCGATTTGGGTTGACTTGCAACACTGAATTATAGGCACGTTTTGACTTGTTTAATAAAAAATATGCAAGTCAAATGTCAATTTAGCTGATTCTATGTAATGCTTTGGGTACATAATCTAAGTTAACAACTTTTTCTAAACACATGGGACTAATATGGAAGTAATATTGTATACAATTAGCACTGTGTATATGTACATAAGGTACATCGGATTTATGTCTGATAGGCTGTAGGAAAGGTTAGCAGCATATCATACATGTAGTCTTGGATGTATTACAATAATGTTCCATTGGACTTGATTATAGTAACACCGATTACAGTGGTGGGTTGTCTCTGGGGGGGAGCGGATTGTTAGTAATGGGAACTAACGCTCTCATTGCTAGCAATATTACTCGTGTCAGGTTGACTTTCATTCAGTTCCCCCTAGAAACCATTGTGCTTAATTTCTTCCGGTGAATTCATCACGATGAACTAAATGACCTGACTTCGTCCTCACCAATTATCTCACACTGATGCCCCGTCATCGTGTACAGACGCGAGCAGGGTTGCCATCCCATTATCACCCATACAAAGATTTTATTTCCCCTTAGCGATAGAATCTTGCAGTTTTTGTTAATCGTACACACGTTTAACGTAATTTCAAATAAACATACATACAACATATTTCGAATTAGTCGCTCGGATAACATCTTGCCTCGCAATGTGTTATATTATGATTTTATTAAATCTAGTCTCTCTAGTCTTACAAACTGCATTCAGACTGATTTAAAGACTGCTCCAAGCGCCCGGGCCCTAAAGAAAATGTCATATTAATATGAACTTTTATAAACGCAACTTACCAATATTACCTAACTCTAATACTCCGACGGCAGGTATATCAAAGTTTATTAATAAATAAATGAATAGTTTTATTTGCTTTTATTCTAAAAAGAAAAGTAATATTTTATGTTAATCCGAAATAAGAATTTATATTAGTTACCCTATTACTTACTATTAGTTATACACCTTGAAAACATATTTCTGTAAATAGAATCAGTTGAAGCACTAGCGCCATCTATTATTATTTACCTTTAGCTTGAATTAATTAGTTTACCTAAATTTTTCTTACTTTGTGTTTGTGTTTTTATAAGCAAATTATATATCTCGTGAGATATGCACAAGTCAGCGTACATAACGCAGTTATATAAAAAGAAAAGAGAGAGATTCACTATGTTTTCAAACATTGTACGTTTATTTGCAATTTGAGATAATTACGGAGTATAAAGAAGAGTGTATGTGCATAAGAGTTGTCTGTACATAAATGTAACATGGCTCGATTACATATTATTGAATGATGCAAACTTGTATGAAGGATGAATTTTATATTATTAAATAATACAGACTTGTATAAAGAATTAAATTTTATATTACTGAATTATAATACTTTAGTGTTAAATATTCGGGCCTGGTGTGTTCTCAGTACCTATTATTTAGTTATTTATACATGTACAGATATTAAACAGTACGAGACTACTCGATTTGAGAATTCAAAATGGAAGTACGTTGTTACTTATTTTACATTCCAGACTTCATTAAATTTTTTTATTTAAGAATGTCATACAATATATTTGATTATATATGAGGATATATTTCTTCTTAATTATATTAATATAACGCGTGTAATGCCCCTGGTATTGTAGGCGTTCATAAACTACGGTAACCGCTTAGCATCAAGTGGGCCGTATGCTTGATTGCTTCCACAGTTGTATGAAAAAGAAAATACAAAATATTCGTTATCTGTACTAGTTAATATCTGTACTATAATTTAAGTTACAAATCTCTGGAAATGATCTCTGCTTAGCTGAACGCATGTAAAAATTAAGCGAGCGTAGTAATAAATTTTTATTAATTTTTGAATGTACATTTTATACAATTATTTAGGACCTACCTCATTTTTATTAATATCTACATATTTTGTAAATCCGCCCTAATGAAATAATCATTCCATTTCAGCGAAAGTTATTCACAGTATGAAAAGTTATGTTACACTCAATTTATTCATTTTTTTATTATTTTTTTTCCATTCCAGTGTTATTTGAATAAAACGTACCAAGATTATTTATTTATTATTTATTTCACATGCTATGTAATAATACATTATACAGTTAACATTGTAAAAGTTGTTTAACATGTCAAGCATACCTAAAAAAATTTAAAGCCATAATTTATTAATAATATTCGATTTAACAATGTCCTTTTATAAAGAGCGGTAACCATGACTTTTCATACTAATTAACTAATTTGAATTAATTATTTAGCTTAAATTAATTAATTAGTTAATGAAGTAGCTTGAATTAATTGAATTAATATTAACCTAAACTAATTAATTCGTATTAAATTCATATT